GTTAGAACAAAACATTGAGTTATCTTCCGATCTGACTAAAGCCAACGTGATCATTGGCTTTCTGTGAATGTTTGTGTAAGCTGAGTGGATGCTTCCTCTTGACGTTAGCGCCTCTTTGCAATTGGTTGATAGCAGCGAGCGCAAATCTAAACCATGGTAAGAAGGATTAAGACGACGTTGTTGCCCTTACTTCCTCCAAAAAGCCAAAGTGGCAATGGCTCTTCGGAAGTTGTTGCATAAGCAAGTCGACTGCACTAGTACCGACTAAAGGCATTTGCTTGGAACAGTACATAAAGCAGCATAAATTGTGCGTATAAGAGGAAAATATGGGGTCATCAGAGCAACCTTAAGGGCAACTGACCGCTCTTCCTGTGGACGTGACAAAATCTTGTGAATTCTATTTGCACTGAAAGAAGGGTTCCAGTCTCTGGTTGGCAACGGATGAGGAAAGGAAAATGACGTGTTCACCTCCTACGAATTGGTAAAGAGGCAGAGAGGTGGGCTTTGGTGTTATTTTAAGGCCATAGGAGCAATTATAACCATTCAAGTGACACAAGCATTGCCTAGGCATGTGAATCGTTGGATGGGTTGTGATAATAGTACAGCGTCTTTAACTAATGCAATATTTTAAGGAACTACTAATAAGTCGAGCGCAAATATGGCATTACTCCGTCCTTTCCCAAATGACAACTACTGATGAGTCCTCACACTTTAGCAATAGCGATGAACATTAGCTAAAGCATCGAGTGACTTCATCGGATATTGGAAGGAATTACAAGCAAAGGGGTGTTTACTGCACACCCGTGACCAAACTGTTTACGGAAGCGCTGTTAGCTTCAGTAGAAATTTAGCCAGTTGCAGAGTCCACCTCCTTATGAATCCTATAATTAGTATTTTGACGCGTCAAATTAAAACTACAACAACAACAACATAATAATAATAATAATAAGTGCTTACGACGTTAGTGTTAAAATCAAGTGACTATCAAAGTGACAAAGTTACACGCCTCCAGAAGACCTCTCACGACCTGCGAGGGTCACCTTCACTTATTCCGACTTATTATTCTCACCACACTTCCGATTCAGCCAACTTTTAAGCAACTAAAAGTTGTCACTTTTATCCCCTGAACGCAGGCGAAAACCTACCCAGACAGTGGCAAATCCCACGGCGCTTGTGCGTGTGAAAGCTGGTCGTTTACATGCATGCGCATCACCGTGGACGCTGCCAATGGTTTTGAGAAAAGGAAAATTTGGACAGTACTTTGCGAAATGCTGTTTTACTTTTAGTGAACCACGATACTATGTAGGTCTGTTCACATTCACAAAACAATCTCATTGATTTGCATGCCTGTCAGTTCTGCAAATTTTCCGGTTCATTGTGAGATTTCGCCCATTTTTTGACCCACCTACTACATATCTTAGTAGCAAGGAGAGTTTTAAGCAGCGCTGACATTCATTTGTGAGCTTTTTTTCTCATCCCATCGTAAGCTGATCCAGAAGTGTCTGCAAAGGTGTGACTGACTGATAGCTGGCCAACGAAACGACAGGACTGGGAGGGAAACAGTTGCTTCTGCACTCAGTGGAATGTGAATGTGCGTCAATGCTAAACTTTAATTTCTTCCATTTATCACTTTCCCACCGAGGCATTTATTGTGGGAAGGTATTTTGTTAAAATTATGCGTTTATCATGAAGCAGCTTTACAAGTTTCTTGAAATTAACCATGAACTCAAATAGATTAAACATTGTTGTAAGGAAATTCACGTGGTCTTGTGGTGCGTTCAGACTTCTCTGAGGAAGGGAGAACGAAAGGTAGTAGAGCAGATTATGCATTGTCGCTGCGGAGAAGAAACGTGTCTTTTAGGTGTCGCGCAATCACAATCAAGAAGTGAACATAAAGTTGGTTTTACGGTGGGTTAATGGTCCTACTGAATTAAACTTAGAGCATCGTTTTGGCACACTAAAGACACTATCCAAGTGATAATCTCACGCAACGGTGTCGGCCTCTGCGTTTCGCGATCTTCCCTACCGAAACAGTTTACTCTTTCATGCTATTCGGGCTTCACTAATTCTGAGTTCATAAATAGAACATGAAGATAACGAAATGAGGTGTAGATCTCGCTTGCAAAATCGTTGTGGTCCTCAGTTGGTAAGTTTTACTTAAGGTAAAAGTCAGCGGATTTTATGAAGCTGCATAGGATCTTCGCCATTCCTCAGTGTCTCGTCCAAATCATACTGTTTGCTCCAAAATTTAATTCCATCCATCTCAATTATGATAGGCAAAACATCTGTTTGTATGTCGCTAAAAAAAGGAAACATTAAGATAGCCCAACTGCACACTTCTACCAGTGATTGCCAAAATTATACTTTTGAATGACCTGACAACCCTCAATTTCAGTCGACTATGGCTTGCCTATAGCCTTAAACTATAGCACTGCGAAAGATGGCACTTGTTAAAGCTAGCCTTATGTCATGAATACAAATACGTTAGCAGTTCCCACTCCAATGAACTAAGTTTAAATGATGCGCAAAAGTTTATCATTTTTCTACAGAAATTAACTGCAGTACATTGGTGTTTGCATAGCTGTGATTGCCCAAAGCGAGGTCCAAGTGTTGCCAATATATTCAGTGCCCAAGTGGTCTGAATGCCAAGATAAGAAATTTATCGTTTGTTCTTGCTCTCTGAATGCCGCCTGAGGAAAAATGTCGGCGAATGGCTGGATGCTTGGAAGAGGAAAGTCGGGGGCATTTTCGCGTAAAGGTGACAGCAGTTTGGGTAGGATTCCGATCATTCACGCCAAATTTACATATAAAATTAATAGTATTCTTTCCTCCTGCAGGTGGTAAGACAGAACAAATGCACATCCACTTCCGGCGGTCGTACCAAAGCCCAAAGGCTCCGAGGAGAGACGAAGGAAATGGCGACGCTACTCGCGGCGTGATTAAACTGCCGCACTTGCCTCTCATAAATAGCGGTTGTGTGAGTCAACGTAGACGTGAGTAATTCTGGCGATGGGATTTTCACTAATTACAAATTTGAACAAATTGTGCCACCAATTGTCACCATTGATGATGGGTATTTAGAGTATGAAGCAACTTATATCAGGTGAACGAACACACTCGACTGAGATCTTTCAGCTATCCTAAATAAATCTGATAAATATAAGAGGAAATATTAAACTAATTCCTGGATGAAATTAACAATTGCCGTGAGTATCGAAGAAAATACCTTCGAAATCACCCTTATTTCATAGATTGAATACATAAAACTCCGAACACCATGCAAAAGCCTGCAGATGACTCAAAACCTATCCTTTAGTTTAGTCTCTAGCGTCTCCCTCCTCTTTTTCTCAGGCTCGTTCACATCAGCCTGCATTAGAGAAAACTTGTTTTGTAAAGTTACATTTTGCATTTAACACAACAAACAGACAGAACCGGTGGCATTGCTGTGGTAAGTCGACAGTGTTAGCCTAAAGGGGTCTCCACAGGCTTTCCTAACACGGGATTCATATTGAATGACCGTCTCTCTCCTGCACGACCAAGTTAAACGCTGTAGTATGTATTATCGACAGACTGCTAGTGACTTAACAGTCCCAACAAATCGCAATATTTTTTGTAAGCCTCCTTGCAATAAACAGGAAATTTTCGTATAGGGTTCCCTTAAAAATCAACCAATGCGATGGTGCTCTATGGCACATCACTATAAGCATTCGGAAAATTGGCAGAAGTTACAGGAAGACAATCAGTACCGACTTCTTTCTCCTACTTTTCATTTAGCTAGAGCACTTTAGTAGGCATGAGAAACTTAACATAGGGCAAAAAGAAGTTTAAAACTAAAGAGATGCCTAGCCTCCATACTCGCTCCATTTACAATGCAATTAGGAAAAGCGAGGGCTGCGTAAAAACTCATGTTTCATTAATTTTTACTTTAGAAGCATCGAACACAAAGTTTTAAAGATTTGTCTGAAGATTGTTTGGGGTTGGGCTGTCCACTGGGCCGTGTCAAAAGTCCCGTTTCTCTTCCCTTCTGCTGTTTACATGCGATACACCTTATATTATCGGCAAAGATGTCTTAGAAAGCTACAGCCACTGCTGTGTGGGTGGCAGTCATTTTGGCGGCCATCTTGCCTCTTCTACGAGGTCTTGTCTTTGAGCCACCTCTATCCTTCCTCTCTTATCAGAGGTACTTAGCTAATTTTATGCCTTCGCTTGCGAAGTGGGAAGTATGCTGACTAGTCTGTTTTAAGTGCTACATGTTATAATGTACGCAACCATCAATGCAGAAGACTAAGGTTTGCAACGCATACTAACGCGACCTATCGCAATAGCACAAGTATGGCGCAGTAAACTGATTTTTTGTTGAGTGCTGCTAAAATGTTGTAGAAACTGCCCGCTTGCTCGCGAATTTCAGAAGAGGGTTAGTTGACAAAGCTTTATTTGGCAGAACGTACAGAAAGAATAGGAATTAAAGGGGGGTAGATGGGACTCAAATCGAACGCCACCGTTAGACTTACCCTTCAGACCTCCCACGAATTAGACTTGCAGTCAAATCTCCTTTGCACCTCTCGCCTATAAAGGCCATCTTAAATGCATTAATATATATTACGAATTTGACCTGAAAAAAATATCTGATTAATGACTATCAGGTACCACTAAGCAATGGTTAAACAATTTTCGCCACCTTAGTCTGAATTTGAGATTTTTAAAAGAACACAAAGGTTTGCTTTAAGTCAATTCTCAGGTTTCTTGATTTTAATAAATTGTGTTACTAAGCGATTTGTTGGGTATATCAAGGTCTCCGATTCCGCGACAACTTATGAAGTCACGTAATGGCTGATGAGGAAGAAAATTACCCCGAAATAAAGCCAAGGGGGTATTACTCTGACATTTTGACGCAAGAACCTAACGATAACAAAGAAGTTAGATTGAATACACACGTAAAAAGCGTTAGGCTAGTAAAAAACCACCTGCGATTATTGACAATGCCTTGAACGAGTGCAAAGATGCTTCAAATAACCCTGAAGGTAAGAAAATACCACCACTATAACCCAAATTTAGTTGTACTTCCAATTGACACCAACGTTAGCTCTTACGTAGATTTCAATGGGGCAAGATATGAAAATGTTTCATCGGCAAGTTCTTAATGTGCAGACTTATGTACCTAGTATTTTCCGGAGTCCTCGTTTGAGCCTAAAGTTCACATTCCCTTTTACGTTCCACCTGGTCAATGTCCTAGGAAACTTGCAATTGAGAGGTAGACCTTATAAATGATCTTGACCTTTAGAAAACGGAGGGAATTTGAGCGCTGTAGCATTGAACACATATTAGAAGAAGAGTACAGTATTAAGTCGAAGGATCTCATTCCAAAGCCAGACGATGACTACCGTGACTTGCATAAAGCCTGGGATCGCTACCTTTTTCTTGATATTTTTGATGATGAGGATTATGATTGCAGGACTCCAGCAGATTGGCTATCCTTGGGAATTGAGGGTGATTTACGGAAACCCATTCCTGCCATGGCTCTTTTACCGTTGTCTGATGATTTACATCAAGGCAAGACTTCATTGATATTTCCAGCCTTAACAAGGACAAGTAACTTTTTGTACAATCGTCGCATACAACACCAAAGACAAGTTAACTACTTCATAAGCTCTACTCAATAGGCGAATCCCATGTCTTACGTGTATATAGTCTGTAAAAATGGTGACTTATTGAACCGTTTGTCTGTGACTAGTGCCACTGTTCACTGTCGATGTGTGTGATAGTTTGAGTTAAGCTCACGCATTTATTGTCCCGTCAGCACCAAATATTTTAGTCATGAGTTTTAACGGCTGGTCAACAAAGTGTAAAAGGTACTTAGTTCCAGTATTTCGTTTCGATAACACAACTGCCTTTATTCAGTGAAAATTCCGTGTCCGAAATATTGCATACACTTTACATGATTTGCATTTTAAATAAGTTATGTATGTGAGAGCTTTAAGTAACACCTGGCATAACACATTAAAACTATAGAGGATATGAGAAGTAAGGATGTCAGCTGGTACTGGCAAAAATGTGGTGTGCTCGACTATGACGAGGTCACTCGACGTTGGCTGGTCCAGAAGACTGATGCGAGCGATCGAATCCTTACAAATGATGGCGATCCTATAGTTAACGGTGGTCTCGATTCTAAAGGACAATTCTGTCAGGTCGACTCGCAGTACTGGATTCCTCGTATTCAACTAATGTTTCTTGCTGAAGATCCTGCTGTGTTTGCAAAGCGTGTCGCTCAAGCCTATCACGATAGAGAGGCTGCTGAGGCAACCATTCGCTACAATCTTTATCTTGATTGTATGCCTGTTGATGGACTAGCGGAAATGAGTCGAACCACCCTGGACAGCATCACACACCTGGCAAGAGACTCCACGCCTGGATTGAAAGCGGCTAAAGGGTGGGCATTATTCTACATTTTCTATAGCCGACTAACACTGGACTCTCCTTTTCCAGTGACTGCCTTAATCTTTGATGCACTTTGCAGTAAAACTTCCTAATTTCTAGGCTATTTTACTATGTGACCCATGCTTATTCCTTCTGAACTGCATTTTTATTTGAAAACCAAAAAATATATCTTGTATTGATCGTTACATAGGTTTGTAAATCATTGACAGTGCACATCAGCTCTGTTACCATAGATTAGGACTGCAAAGTTTATTAGGAGTGTCAAATTATAGTGCTAAATTTTAATTGACGACATTTTTGCTACCAGCTCAACTTAGGAGATGTGTCGCTTCCCAATGAATTTTGCAGGATAGTTAAGTAGCATACATATATCATGTTCCTAGTGTTGTTTTTGAGAATTTAATGGTAAAGATAGACCAAGAGCGGAACTACGAATTTTTAGATTTGAAACTCACCAATGATTTTTGAGCTGTAACTCATAGTTTGAAATATCTCCCAAAAGAATTAGTTTCTATGACCGTTGAAAGGTGTATTCTTAATTTTGATTTATTTTGAAGTACTCAAAAATACTATAATAATGGTAATCATCATCAATTTTTTACAAAAACATTTTAAAACTAATCATGCTTACGCATAGATTGGAGCAGACTATTTTATCTCTGCAAAAAGAAATTATTTTTGACTATTGGAGAACAATGAACGATATAATTCTTCGGAAAATATGCTCTCAGAACTTGCCAGAATACACTTTTATAAAGCCCCCAGAAATAAAAAAACGAGTTTGGCGATGGAAGGGTAAGTACATCTTCTGTTACAGTCAATAAAACCCAAGGCACTATCGAATTACCCAAGTTTGAGTTTAAGAAGGCCCTTGAAAACTTTGTGTTCAACACTGTGTTCACGCGCCCAGAAGCCATTGCGGCAAGTTGCTCAGCTCAATACGAGTGCCTTGAGGCGCGGGAAAGGTATCTCCTCCACTTTCCTATCTCAAAGGCTGCAAAAATTGAAGAGTTTGAGCAAACTCAAATGCAAATCATTCAACAGTCTTCTTCTTACTTGAGGGTAAGCATTAAACTATAAAAGTAGTAAATTTATATCGTTCAGACCAGTTGGATTGAAAATCTGCGACGTCAAATTCGAATGCATTTGCGTGACACTGGAAAGGGTTGGTTCAATATCTACGAGACCGACTACTACGTATACTCCAAGTCCAAGCTGAAGAAGTTTTTAGATAGCGTCAAGTTTTGCATGCAGGATGCTCTTCGCTACAATGTCATGAGTTCAATCAATGGATTTGTGAAGATGATAGAAGACGCTTGTATTGACTGCCGTAATCTCACTCCTGCGTTTGAGTGGTCAGACGATCTGCGCAGTAGCAGTATCTTGTAGGTTTATGCTTTAGTATTTGGTAACTTAAATCACTACTTTAATTTCATAGGCCCAAACACAATCCAATTTTCGCTGTTGACTTGGTGATTGATGGGGATGGTGTTCATTATAGTAACATATTGGGAGACTTCGACAGATGCTGTAGACAGCTATTTGACAAAGCTATTGACTCCGTTCAACATATATCGCAGCTAGAGAGGGTAAGAGTTCTTTCGATGCACTGAAGTCCATTATCGGGATCTTACTAGTACTGATGAAACTCTTTTCTGGTAGTTTGTCGTAGAGGGAATCAGTTGGTCGGATGACCCCCTAATTGAGGCGGTCGGTGCTCACGAACCGGAGGTTGAGACTTTGAGAAAAAGACTGTACGAACTGCTACAGACCGCATACATTCCAATGAATGCTTACGCAAAACAGTACCACTCATACATCGAACTGTCACTCCTCGACATACCATCTTATGTAAAGTAAGACACTGTTTTGTAAGCCCCATCTAACAAATGGAGCGGAATTGTTGTTCAAAGGCTTTCGCCCAATGCTAGCAATCGTTTGATATTAGAAGTCTATGATATCTTTTCATTCCTAGCTCGAATTAACTAACCTTATAGGATTCAGTTGCAATCATTGTTCTTATGAACTCCACCTTTACGGCCCGTCTGAACGGATTAAACGGATAAATTAGGCCCAATTGACTAGAAAGTCAAGTTTTCATCTTCTCAAGTATGCTACAAGTAACTTTGAATCAGCATTAAATCGTAGGAATGTTCAAAATGTTCAGACTTTTATCGAAGGGTGAAACGAATGCCTAGTTTAGCACAACAAGGCTTAATAACCTCAATTCTCACGTCTCATTTGAGCATTCGCGTTCCCCACCTACCACCATAACATTTGACAATCCAAAGCTTTGTGATACCGTAGTTGATTACCACCGTTTGGTGGTATCAACGAATCGTTTCCTTGAAACATTAAAATCTCAACGTTCAGCGATTTTCTGCGAGTGTACGAGTCGCAAAGTCTAAGCGCCTACGATGTGAAGAACGAGGCAACAAAGCAGTTTGAGGAGGCAAGGAATTTGGAGGCTTCGATGCCTTTCAACATCACCATCGGGCCTTTCCTTGTGAACGTGGAACCACTGCGCAGTCGCCTAATGAAGAAGCGGTTCGACATGGCCAAGGCCATGCTGGATCTACTTGCCCGACAGCTCAGGAAACAGTCAGACACGGTAAAATGCATTGTAAACCATTAAAATTACTGCATGCCGGCAAGTAAGAATAATGAGCCAACCTTGTGCACTTTTGAAAGTGACTTTAGTAAATCTGATGGCAGATCGTTTTTGTACTTTAAAAGAAGGCCTCATTACAGGTATGGCAAATGACCTACCTAGGTTTATTGAGCTGAGAATTTCATTTACATTAGATTTATAGCAGGAAATGAGTAGCATTAAAATGCGTATGGGGAACGGACTTCTGCAGTCACACGACCACTATCTGATTATCAAAAACTTTGCTTGCATTTTAACAGCATAATATTTGTTTTCATAACGGAACTTTTACGGTGGCTTTCTGTCCGCTATGGCAATCGCTTCTATGACATTTAAAAATTTCTAAAATTCTAGCTTTACCTTTGTCAAACTTTTAACTTTTGCCATTGTCTAACATCAGCTGAAAAAGCTGGGCGTATTTTCATTGTATCCATTTCTTGCTACTCCTTACGCATCACAAACAACAGATCTGTATCGAGTTAATAAACGAATCCACAAAATCATATGTGAACCTGTGAGTCTTTAGTTTTAAAAATGCGCTCATTGCCTACGAAACACAATTATGAACGACTTGAAGTCAGCGTTAGCCAATTACTATATCCATATTTCAGTCATGCGACGCATTCGAAGAGATAGCAAGAAGGCTCTATGAGAAACCGAACACCATAGAGGAGCTCACTGCGATGCGTGAGTACATGGACACCATTCCAGATTTGTTGGAGGAACAGAAGGAGGTGATCGACCGGGTTGTAGCTCATTATGAGCTCATCGATGAGTTCTGCTACAACCTTAGCAACGATGATTTTGCCGCTAAATGGACTACTCTCACCTGGCCCAGCAAGATCCGCAACCTTGTGGAAGAGACAGAGTTAACTCTAGAGGAAGATGAAGAGCGTTTCCGCAAACTCCAAATCTCCGATTTGGCTTCCTTCTCCGACAAAATCGACAGTCTAACGGTGAGTTCGAATCGATTCAAAAGTCCACCCAAAAAACCTCACCAACCGTGGGGAAACCTTTAAATACTATCCTCTTCCCTTAAAGATGATGGTTTCCTCTATGGCCTCTTACACGGATGTGAGCAAAGCACACGAAATTGCAAATGAAGTGCGGCGGCTTCAAAAACAACTACTAGAAGCACAACAGAGTGCCCTGCTATATAATAGCCGAGAGCGACTATTTGATATGCCGATTACTAACGTAGGCCCTACCCTGTTAAAAACGGTTTTACAAGCTTGACAAAAGTTAATAAACATTGTTTTGGGCATTTTAGTTCGAGAGAATAGGTACATTACTTAAGGACTTTGAGCCATTCCGAGTGATGTGGATCGCTGTGTCGGATTGGTTGAGAACGCAGGACGCAATCATGACCGACCCACTGTCGTCAATTGATGCAGCAGCCGTGGAAAAACAGGTCACTGAGGGCTACAAGATTATGCATAAGTCGATTCGCATATTTAGTGAATTGCCTGGGGTGCAAGAAGTGGCTAGTCAGATCAAAATGGCGATTGAAGAGTTTAAACCCTTCGTACCCCTTATTAAAGCTCTTCGCAGTCCTGGAATGCATAGCAGGATGTGGGAGCTCATCAGTGAACGAACCGGCATCTTGGTTGTGCCAAAGGCCTCTCTCACCTTTGCAAAATGTTTGGAAATGCGGCTTCAGGTGAGGCATTTGGCATGTGCAAAGGGATGACTTTTTTATGCCTTCTTCGCTAAGTGACTTCTCGAGTCGAATAATTTTATGCGTAGAAGGAAAATGAAGAGAAATCCATTGAGCTAGAACAAGTCATGTTGACTAGATTTGTAACAAACTGTTTACACCATTGTGATGCAACCATCTCTATTTAAAAATTGTCAATGCAGGATCACATCGAGGTAATAACGGATGTAGCCGACATAGCCAGAAAGGAGTATGCAATCGAATCAGCACTAAATAAGATGATGCAAGATTGGGAAAATGTGGTCTTTGAGGTACAACCATACAAACAGACCGGAACTTACATAATCAAAGTTCGAGAAGAAATCAACCAGCAATTAGACGACCACATAGTCCTTACTCAGTCAATGAGCTTTTCTCCGTACAAGAAACAATTTGAAGAGCGCATCACTGCCTGGGAGACCCGTTTGCAGGTCACTCAAGAAGTTATAGATGAGTGGATTAATTGCCAGCGCAGATGGCTATACTTGGAGCCAATTTTCGCCTCAGAAGACATTTTGCGTCAGTTACCGGTAGAAGGCAAACGATTTGCTACGATGGAGAAGATTTGGCGCAAGGTGATGAAAATCGCCCACGGTCAACCGAATGTCATTACTCTCTGTCCGGACAGTCGAATCTTAAATAACCTTCGCGAGTGCAACAACTTACTGGAACAAGTACAAAAGGGCTTGAGCGAGTACCTAGAAACAAAACGTCAGGCCTTTCCCCGATTTTTTTTCTTGTCTGATGATGAACTTCTTGAGATTCTTTCGCAGGCAAAGAATCCTACTGCTGTACAACCGCATCTAAAGAAGTGCTTCGAAAACATCGCAAAGGTGAGCGGTTCTTTGCGTAGTATACTATTTTCTTGTTATGTTTTGTTCTCATAGATTTTTGATGCTCTTTATAGCTTCAGTTTGAGAGTGACCTTGAAATCACAGCTATGTATTCCAGTGAAGGGGAAAAGATTCCTTTTGAAAAGACTATCCGTCCAATTGGAAATGTGGAGGACTGGATGTCAGAGATCGAAGATATAATGCGCTTCTCTATTCGTACCATCATTCAGCGTGCAATAAACAATTATCCTGAAACTCCGCGCACTGATTGGGTGCTTCATTGGCCTGGTCAGGTTGTCATTGCTGGTTGTCAAACCTATTGGACTTCAGAGGTCACGGAGTCACTTACTCGTGCTCACTCTGGAGGACTCGTGGGGTTGCTCCCCCACCTTCTAAATCAGTTGAATGAACTTCGTATCCTAGTTAAAGGAGATTTGACGAAAATTGCACGAATGACACTTTCTGCGTTGATTGTCATCGAGGTGCATGCTAGAGACGTGGTTGACAACATGATTCAGCAAGACGTCTCCTCCGTCAATGCCTTTGAATGGATAAGTCAGCTTCGTTACTACTGGATAAATACGAGTGAGGAACTTGAAATACGTGTTGTCAACGCCCACTTCCCCTATGGTTACGAGTACCTCGGTAATACTACACGACTAGTGATTACTCCTCTGACGGACCGGTGTTATCTTACTCTAACGGGAGCTCTGCACCTTAATTTTGGTGGTGCTCCATCTGGTCCAGCAGGAACGGGAAAGACAGAGACAACGAAGGATTTGGGAAAGGCTTTTGCTGTTCAATGTGTTGTGTTCAATTGTTCCGATCAACTAGATTTCATGGCAATGGGCAAATTCTTCAAAGGTTTGGCATCAGCAGGCGCATGGGCGTGTTTCGATGAGTTCAATCGCATTGACATCGAGGTTTTATCTGTGGTAGCGCAGCAAATCACGACCATCCAAAAAGCACAAATGCAACGCGTCGATCGATTCCTTTTTGAAGGCGTGGAATTGGCTTTGAAGCCCTCTTGCGCCATATTTATCACGATGAATCCTGGATATGCAGGCCGCACGGAGTTGCCCGATAATTTAAAAGCGCTCTTCCGACCTGTTGCGATGATGGTTCCCGATTATGCACTGATAGCAGAAATTTCACTCTTCTCCTTTGGCTTTGCTGATGCTCGGGTTTTGGCTAAGAAGATTGTTACAACTTTTAAATTGTCCTCAGAACAGTTAAGCAGTCAAGATCACTATGATTTTGGCATGCGAGCAGTAAAAAGTGTCATTTCCGCGGCTGGTAATTTGAAAAGAAATGAACCTGATACGGATGAGGTGGGTTGAGGCCAATTTTAAACCTCATTTTACTTATTCTAGGAGCTTATTGTTCTTCGAGCGATTCGCGATGTAAACCTGCCGAAATTTCTTGAAGATGATCTGAAACTCTTCAACGGAATTGTTGCTGACCTATTCCCAAATATTCGTCATCTTGTGTAGGTTTTTCAGTTTGCATAACCTTACTGTATTAATTCCAGTGCAAACGAGATTAATTATGAAGACCTTACAATTGCTTTGAAAACTGCTGCTCGCAAAATGAACCTTAAAGATGATCACGGTAAGTAGGAAAGAAATAATGCTTTTTTGGTTTACTAAAAGGATCTTTATTTGCATTCTTAACTTTAGGCTTCCTTCACAAATGTACTCAGTTATTTGACACCACAGTCGTGAGGCACGGCCTTATGATCCTTGGTCCGACGGGGTCAGGCAAGACCAAATGCTATGAAGTACTAAAGGATGCTTTGAGCTCCTTGAAGAATCAGCCTTCTCCAGATGGCTCTTACTTCCAAAATGTGGTCACCTATGTTTTAAACCCCAAGGCCATAACAATGGGCCAACTTTACGGCGAATTTGACCTCATCACTCATGAATGGACTGACGGTGTTTTGAGTGTACTCATTCGGGAAGGAGTTGCAGCTGACAACCTTGACAAACGTTGGTATGTCTTCGATGGACCTGTCGACGCTTTGTGGATTGAAAACATGAACACAGTGTTAGACGATAACAAGAAACTTTGTTTGAGCAGCGGAGAAATAATAAAGTTGACAGAAGCGATGACTATGATGTTTGAAGTTGCTGATTTGGCAGTTGCCTCACCGGCAACTGTAAGTCGCTGTGGCATGGTGTACCTGGAGCCAAGTATCCTTGGTCTTAAGCCCTTCGTAGATTGTTGGCTTCAAAGTCTGCCTCCACCAATTTATCCTCATAAGGAAAAGTTAGAACGCTTGTTTGACATCTTCCTTGAGGTAGGTTTCTTAACCGAAGGGAACTAAAGCCCAACCTAATAAAATTATTTAGGACTCAATCCGTTTTATTCGTGAACACACAACGGAAAACATTAGAAGCTCGGACGGTCAGCTGACGTTTAGTTTATTGAAGCTCTATTCCTGTTTCTACAGTCGTTTTCAATCGAAGTCGAGCCTACTGGCGGCTTCAAAGAGAAATGGGCAAGTTAAAGTAAGTGTTAGTACCACGCGAAGACTAATAAGTCAAATGCAAGACCTCTTGAGGTGCTTTTCTTGTTTGTAATACATAGACCAGATATAATCAAAACCTTCGGGCGCCACTTCGCCCACTGGGAAATGAGCCAGGAGATGTACGCTACTAATTGCTTGTTTCAGTTGAGTTATTTTACGAGATTTTAGCGTATTGTTTCTAGCCTATGGAGCTCTATTCTTTTACAGCTTGATGTGCCCGATGAGTTGGTTTCAAGGACTGGAGAGGTATTTGAATCCTGGTTCTTTTTCTCACTTGTCTGGTCGATTGGCGCAACGTGTACCAACGATGGCCGCAAGGCCTTTGATGTTTACTTAAGACAAAAGATGAAGGACGCGAAGGTATTGTTGATATCAGCTTGTCTCAGAGTATCTCAAGCATTCAAATCACTGATAAAATTATCACTTTTGCAGTGTTATCGACTGTTCCCTTCAGAAGGCACCGTCTATGACTACTACTTGGATGAAGCTGACATTCTTAACATGGATAGGAAGGAAACAGACTGTGATGAGCAAAGCCCAAAGCAAGTAAGTTTGATTAAATTAGCTCTACTGGTTCAATCGATATTAATCACACCTAAAAACGGCTATTTGAAGGTTCATTGGGAACACTGGATGAAAAATGTACCGTCTTATCAAGTAGACACGAATGCGAAGTACTCGGACATCCTGGTCCCAACTCTTGACAGCGTTCGCCTGGTTCGAGTTATGGAACTGCTTTTAAAGAACTCAATTCCTGTCCTCGGTGTTGGTGCCACAGGCACAGGAAAGACGGTTTGTATTGCAGACAAACTTTGCCGAGGGATGCCAGAAGAATTTATACCGGAGTTTATGGTGCTCAGTGCAAAGTCATCAGCCAACCAGACGCAGGACGTGATTGAGAGCAAAATGGACAAACGCAGGCGTGGAGTATACGGTCCTCCGCCAGGGAAATATCTCATCTTCTTCATTGACGACTTGAACATGCCTGCACCGGATATGTTCGGTGCACAACCTCCAATCGAGCTACTTCGCCAGTGGATGGACTTTAGGGGGTGGTACGATCGGAAGCAGATTGGCGCTTTTAAACAAATTGTTGACGTTAATTTCTTGTGTGCTATGTGCCCACCAGGTGGTGGTAGAAATCCGATTACTCAGCGTCTGCTTCGACATTTCAACTTTTTGAGTTTCAACGAGCTTGATGAAGCTAGCCTTTCAACAATTTTCTCAACTATCCTGACCAGTTGGTTCATGCAGACACCTGAAGAGTCACCTGTTCGTTATTTACTAGACAAAGTGAAGCCTTTAGTAAAGGCCTCCGTTTCGGTTTATACTACTGTGCAATCACAGCTCTTACCTACACCGGCTAAGAGTCACTATACATTCAATCTCCGAGACCTTTCCAAAGTCTTTCAAGGCATCTATATGTTTGATGTTTTACATCTTACGGGGCGTATTACGGATGTCTTGCGCCTTTGGTACCATGAATCTTGCCGTGTTTATCAGGATCGCCTGATTAACGAGACAGACAGAAATTGGTTTAAAAGTTTATGCATAAAGACCATGGAGGAATACTTTGAGGCCAAATTTGAGGAAGTGGTGCCTTCTGAGCCATTGCTCTACGGCGATTTATTGTCGGTCGAAACTGCCGACAATAGAAAATACATCGAAATGGTGGATCACACGCAAGTGGTTCGTGTGTGTGAGTTGAATTTAGAGGACTACAATCAACTATATAGCGCCCGTATGGACCTTGTTCTCTTCATGGACGCCATTATACACTTATGCCGCCTGTCTCGAATTATCCGCCAACCTCAAGGCAATGCCCTGCTCTTGGGTCTCGGAGGTAGCGGTCGACAAAGCATTTCGCGTCTTGCGGCCCACATGTGGGTTTGAGTCCGCTTTTGTGTTTGTTTACATGTTTTTACCGCATACTTAATGGATTTCTTTTTGAAGTGCTGAATTTGAGTGCTTTCAAATTGAACTAACAAAAAGTTACAGCACCCACGACTGGCAGGAGGATTTGAGAAGGGTTATGATGCTAGCGGGTATTGAAGACAAACAGGTTCTGTTCCTCTTTTCTGATACACAGGTATGATAACCACTTTTATCACTCACTAACTTTATTGACTCCAGTTTACGGGGATTTGTATTTTTAACTCAGATTAAGAAGGAAACTTTCTTAGAAGACCTTAATAATGTTCTGAATATTGGTGATGTGCCAAACATCTACGCATTCGAAGACCTTGAAAATATTTATAATGCAATGAAGCCAGTGGTGAATAATGCTGGGATTATGCCAACAAAAAATAATCTCTATTCCACCTATGTTAAACGTGTGCATCGAAACCTCCACACGGTGATTACAATGAGTCCTCTTGGAGAAGTTTTCCGTGCCCGCCTGCGTCAATTCCCAGCACTTGTTAGCTGCTGCACTATCGACTGGTACGCGGAATGGCCTGACGAGGCGCTTGAAGCAGTTGCACTGAAAATATTGAAAGACATGAAAGAATTGAATATCGAAGATGAGCTTTTGGAAGGCATTGTCAAGGTGTGTCAAAAAATGCATCAATCAGCCGTTCGCAATACGGCCCGATACCTACATGAATTAGGCCGCCACAACTACGTGACACCTGCTTGTTTTCTGGAGCTACTCGCTTCGTTCGCCAAGATGTACAACCTAAAACTGACAGAGTTGATGAATTTAAGAATCCGCACTAAGACGGGTTTGGATAAACTTCTTAGTACAGAGCAGATTGTTGCAAAATTACAAGAGGAACTTGAGATTATGCAACCACAGTTGGAGAAGGCTATTGAGGCGTCAAAGGTGACAATGGAAGAGATCGCTAGGGATTCAAAAGTTGCGGAAGAAACAACGGCAATCGTGCAACGTGAAGAGGAAGCTGCAGAAAGAAAGACAGCTGAATGTGCAGAGATAAGAGATGATGCTCAGCGGGATTTGGATGAGGCACTCCCAGCATTATACGCCTCTTTAGACGCAGTAAAGTCGCTCAACAAGAATGACATCACGGAAGTTCGTGCCATGATGCGTCCTCCTGAGGGAGTACGCCTTGTCATGGAGGCCGTTTGTATAATGAAGGACGTGAAGCCAAAAAAGGTGGCTGGTGACAAACCAGGCGTCAAGGTGGATGACTATTGGGAACCTAGCAAGACTCTACTCCAGGATCCCGGGAAATTCTTGGAATCTCTCCTCAACTTTGACCGCGACAACATCCCTGATGCCATTATTGCCAAAATTCAGCCCTATGTAGAATCTGAGGCCTTTACACCCCAAGCAATTGCCAAAGTCAGCAAGGCCTGCACGAGCATTTGTCTCTGGGTGCGAGCGATGCATAAGTACCACAACGTAGCTAAAATGGTAGCTCCCAAGAGAGCAGCGATGAGGGCGGCTGAGGATGACTTAAAGGAGACCGAATATGTGCTTCAAGAAGCACGCACTCGTCTCCAGTCATGCAAAGACCGAATCGCCAGCCTGCAAGTAAAGTATGATGAGTGTATGCGAAGGCAGCAGGAGCTTGAAGATAAGAGCAACCTCTGTGAGGCACGTTTACTGCGTGCTGACAAACTGATTGGGGGCTTGAGTAGCGAGAAAGGTCGGTGGATGGACTCTATTGTGGAGGTGGAGGGCTTGATTGAAAATCTCATTGGGAATGTACTCTGCTCTTCGGGGATAGTGGCGTACTTGGGCCCCTTCAATGGTGACTACAGAAACGAAATGTACAATGAGTGGGTTAAATGTATGAAAGAATACAAGGTGCCTCACACATCTTCTCCAAATTTGGTTAACACTTTTGGAGATCCCGTTAAAATTCGCAATTGGCACATATTTGGGTTACCGAAAGATAGTCTTTCAGTTGAAAATGCAGTGATAGTTCAGTTCTCTCGCCGTTGGCCGCTGTTTGTTGATCCACAAGGTCAGGCAAATCGGTGGATAAAAGCATTGGAAGGAGATGAGGGTCTTGAGGTTGTCAAAACCTCCGAAAAAGATTTTTTGCGTACTATTGAGAACTCAATCCGATTTGGCAGACCTGTCCTCTTAGAAAATGTGGGTGAAGAACTTGATCCTGCTCTCGACCCGATCATAATGAGACAGACTTACTCTCAACAAGGTGTCCTTGTCATTAAAATGGGTGACAACGTGATTCCTTACAATCAAGACTTTCGCTTCTACCTAACCACCAAGTTACCAAATCCTCATTACTCGCCGGAGAATTCCGCACGAATGGGAATAGTTAACTTCACATTAGCTCCAAAAGGTCTGGAGGATCAGCTTCTTGGCTTGGTTGTGGCAGAAGAGCGCCCTGATTTAGAAGAAGCAAAGGGTCAGCTTATAGTCAGCAATGCCAAAATGAAGCAGGAGCTTAAGGAGATTGAAGACCACATTTTGGAGAAATTGAGTTCATCCGAGGGTTCGCCGGTTGATGATGTTGACCTCATTAGCACACTCGAAGCCTCAAAGATGAAATCTTCAGAGATACGTACCAAAGTTGTTGTAGCAGAACAAACCGAAAGGGACATAGACGAAACTCGGAGCATGTATATTCCGGTTGCCATTCGTGGTAGAATCCTCTTTTTCTGCGTTGCTTCATTACGCAAAATTGATCGAATGTATCAGTATTCCCTGGAGTGGTTCATCAACATTTTTGTAAAAGGAATCATCGATGCAGAAAAAGCATGTGAGACTGCACAGTGAAGTTTGCGTAAGCATAGAGCTGGGATATGTAAAGGACTTCTTTCCTTTTTTTTCAGCAACCGTCACAGAGCGCATAGAAAGCATAAACAATTATATTACATTCTCCTTGTATGCCAATGTCTGTAGAAGCCTTTTCGAGCGTCATAAATTGCTTTTCTCCTTCTTGATAACCATCAAAATTCTCGAAGAGGAGAATTTAATCGATCCGGTAAATCGGGAGATGGTGTCATGTTAGGATTGGTTTGCATGAACCGGATAGGTATGACTAAACTATGCTTTTATTTAGGGGGAATGGAGGTATCTCCTATCTGGCAGTTCAGTTACAAAAAGAGACCTTCCTAACCCAGCTCCAGAATGGATATCGGATCGCATGTGGGGAGATCTTCTGGCGCTTGATACTCTACCAAATTTTGAAGGTCTTTGCCTATTCATAGTTCAGAATTTAAATGACTTCAAGGAAGTCTTCGATTCACCAGAACCTCACCGCCGTCCCTTAAAAGATAATTGGGGTGAAAAGTTAGACAGTTTTCAACGACTGCTCTTTTTGCGCTGTTTCCGGCCTGACAAAGTCACCAACGCAATGCAAGACTTTGTCGCACACCACCTTGGCCAAAACTTCATCGAACCTCAGAACACCAGCCTTAAAGAAATTTTTAAAGAGAGCTCACCTACAACCCCTATTATCTTCATCCTCTCACAGGTGCATTTTTTGAAATGTGACGAGATGGCAAATAGGCTTTGCTACAATTACAAAATTGTTTGCATCTGAATTCTAGGGCACTGATCCAGCTTCAGACCTTTACAAGTTTGCGGAAGAAATGAATTTCGGTGGCAAGCGATTGTCAGCCATATCACTGGGTCAGGGTCAAGGACCACGAGCAGAGGAGATGATGCAAGCGGCCATGGAGCGTGGGATGTGGGTTTTCTTCCAGAATTGTCACTTAGCGCCTTCGTGGATGCCATCTTTGGAACGCCTTGTGGAACAGATTGACAAGGATCGGGTCAGCAAAGACTTTCGTTTGTGGCTCACCAGTATGCCCAGTTCCAGTTTTCCTGTCTACATCCTACAGAACGGTTCAAAGTTGACCATCGAACCACCAAGAGGAATTAAGGCCAATCTCCTCAGAACTTACCTTTCGCTTAGTGATAAGCAATTGAGTAGTGTTCCTAGAAAGGTGGATATTGATAAATTTACTCACTGTTTAATTGTAAATTTATTGTCGCAATTGATCAAGGGCTCTCTGTTCGACTTCAGAATGCGAATTTCAAGTCTCTCCTTCTGGCGCTTTCGTTCTTCCATGCCATTTGCATCGAGAGAAGGAAGTTTGGACCATTAGGTTTCAACATCCCTTATGAATTCACAACTGGTGACATGAAGATCTGCATGGATCAACTCATCATGTTCCTCACTGAGTACGATAAAATTCCATACAAGGTCTGTTATTACTACTCAACTTCCATACATGTTAAGGCGCTCGTCCGTTATGACTTTCTCCTACTACCATGGAATTAGATTTTGCAATACACTGCTGGTCAAATCAACTATGGTGGGCGCGTGACCGATGACTGGGATCGTCGGTGCCTGATGAGCATCCTCTCTGACTTCTACAATGCCTCCTCCCTTGATGCAGATCATGTATATTCTGAATCAGGCATTTACAAGCAAATAAGTGGTGATTCGGACCACAACGTAAGAACTTCTATTGTATTCCCTTATTGAATGCTTTTCTTTAGGTTTCCTTTCAAATGGACATGTAAATTGCTGTTGAGATATTTTAGTTAACTGGGAATAGAGGAGGTAGAAAGCCTCCACACTAAAGTCTATTTGCAATCCCTAAAATGCGTGTAGTCTTTTCATTAACCATCCTTTGTTGCCTTTAGAGTTACTTAAGATATATTCAGTCTTTGCCAATAAATGACCTCCCTGAGATATTTGGTCTACACGAAAACGCAAACATTACGTTTGCACAGAACGAGACCTTCCAGTTGTTGGCAGACTTGGTCCTCCTACAGCCGAGAACATCTTACTCCTCCAAAGGAGGCAAAGCACATGAGGATATTATTGAAGAGATAGCCACGCAACTTATAAAGGACTGTCCTTCATTGTTGGACGAAGTTGCCATTGTCAAGAGGTACCCTATACTCTATGAGCAGTCCATGAATACTGTTCTAATTCAAGAGGTTACTAGGTAAATTAGTGACAAAATTTTTCTCATTTAGCACAGAAGTTTTTTGCAACTAGTAAAATGGCATTCTTTAGGTTCAATAACCTTCTAACTGAAATTCAATCAAGTTTGCAAGAACTCATCAAGGCAGTTAAGGGCTTGGTAGTGATGTCGGCTGTACTTGAAGCCATGGCCACATCCTTATTTAATAATCAAGTTCCCGAATTATGGAATGCAAAGGCATATCCTAGTTTACAACCCCTTGGCGCCTGGATGAAGGATCTGACAGAAAGAATTGGCAACCTAAAGGCCTGGTATGACCATGGTACACCTATAGTGTTTTGGATCAGCGGGTTCTTCTTTCCGCAAGCCTTCCTCACCGGTCAGCTGCAAAACTTTGCCCGCAAGTACTCACAATCGGTGGATACTGTCAGTTTTAATTTCAAAGTGAGCTTTTCCATGCGAAAAAAATTAATTTGGACCTAATTAGTAGTGAGACTGATGGGTTGGGCTGGGCTTTTACAGGTAATAGGAGAAGATATGGCAGGTCTCCATCAATCTCCTGCTGACGGTTGCTACATTCACGGCCTCTATCTGGAGGGTTGCGGGTGGAATGGATCAGATAAGTGTTTGATAGAATCCAGACCAAGGGAACTCTACACGCTTATGCCCATCATCTGGCTGATTCCGGAGGCAAATCGACGGAAACCCGAGAAAGGAATTTATGAATGTCCAGTATATAAAACACTCTCTCGGTCTGGTAAATTCATTACTGTTGCATTATTTAGATAAACTGTTTTGGATTTTGGTAAAAACAGATTAAAATTATCAATCATATGTAAAATTTTCAAGAGAACTATGTAATTTGAAGAAATCAGAGCTGTTTTAACAAGGGACTTTTCCATAATGCCTTATCAGATTTGAGAATCCTTCCTTTAAGAAAGTGTTATAGGTGTCGGGTTCTCCATTTGTTCTTGCATTTAGCAGCTCAAAACATTGAGCACTTAGTGCGAATTCACTGATAAGTAGTAAAATTGGGTGTTCCAGTACTTTTGAATTAGGCGTATGCTGGATATTTTTATAGTTACTTTTTGATTCCAGAATAGTTGTTTATGAAAGCACCTCTTTTGTTAACAAAAGTAGAATAGGAAGCTGCTTTGGAAGGCTTTTGAACATGAATTCTGTCTGAATTTATGAGACCTGAGACGCCAGTTGATTGTCAGTGGGAACTTGCATGCGCCTTCAACGCTTTCACCGAGCAAACACAGCACGTAGCTTTCGTTGTAGCCTTCTTCTTATTGAATACATTAAACAGTACCTCAAGTAGTTGCGTCGAAAAGTTAACATTTGTTTTTTCATCACCAGGTACCTTATCGACCACTGGAATGTCAACGAATTTTGTCTTTGCAATCGAGGTTCCCAGCACGGAACCTCAGAGCCATTGGATTAAGCGGGGTGTGGCTCTCTTTTGTGCTTTGGATTTCTAAGCCTCGTGATGTGCAAACTCTGCTGCTCATTCCCATCAGGCGAATAAGTTATACAGCAAAAGACTTACTTCCTCATCTTGGTTCTTGAAACACCCATCTTGGACATGCACGTTTTCAATGTTATGGTTGTTGCTAAGTAAAATTAGACCTACAAAAACACTATTCCCACGGCTGCAAACGTCACTTGAACCCAATCATGGAACAACACTTGAATCCACCTAATCTAAGCGCGGGTATAAACATTTTGGAACTGGTGCATTGCCCTTGTGACAACGACCAATCTTTTGGAGTAAGGAGGTGAGCTTCGTCATTATGAAAGAGGCATTGCCATAACTGATGGAACTATCGCAAGTCCGGAAAAGTTACTGTTCGGTAGACACTACCTATCTGAAAACCCATTTTCAGGCTCTTGAAGCTTGTAGAAATCTCGCTCACAATTACCCCGTTGCTTCCAGGGAATCATTGTTCATTCAAGCAGACAAATTAAGCAGGCCTATTTTAACCACCACAGTAAACTGTCTCGCAAATGGGAGGCAAGCTATGCTCCATTCAAGAAGGCCCTTTGATATTTGTCACTTGCACAAAAGGATTGAATCTTGCATTCCAAAGCTTGTTGACCATCCGGTACGTTAGCGCCTTAAACGAATGCGCATCTCAAGTCTGCATCTGACTGATCCCATCTCGGTTCTTCACATTCTCAAGCCCTGTTAAGTCGACCATTGTCCCGTGCATATTACTTTTCGCGTCAGGTTACTTTCCCAACTTTCGGCAGCATGACCACGAATTGCTGCAAAGCTTTGCTAAAAATTACCATGTGTGTGCATATTCTCACGGCAATAAGGTCTACTTGAATTTAGATTGCGACCATTATGGGGAGGAGGCGGCAGACGAACGAGGCGTGACACTCAAACAAAAAGTCGTCCTATTGCAATCGTGAAAACTTACTTATCAGCCTTAAAAACCTTCTCCGAAACTCTGCAACTTAGTGGCAACAGAAAAAAGACTAATAAAAGGTCAATGATCCCAGGAAGAACGACTGTACTGGCCGCAAATTGTGCTAATGCACAGTGGCATGCGAAAGGATACCGTAAATACAGTTGAAAGCACAATTTTCTCCAGAGGAATATGGATAAGTGGAAGAGGGAAAGGGGGTAGGACGCAAGGACACAAATACGGGGACAATCAGACAGAAAGAGGAACCTGGAGAAACAAGGATGCAAAGTAGTGCATGCAGAGAAAACTGAGCTTGGGGAAGAGCCACACGCACGCGGCGCCTGCGGTGGAACTAAATGCACAAGTAGGTACATGCGGGGTGAAGCAGATGAGATTGTCTACTCCTCGTGGAGGCTTCCGTTGCAGTAAGAGCTACTCCCTACTCCTCCATTGTGATTCAACATTCCATTGCGTTTAGGTGTAGAACGGATGTATCCTAGGGTAACTAGAGCCTTTTTAGTAACAATAAAGACTGGGTAGCCCCAAGCAGCATTGAGAATATCGAGGAGGACAGGACATGAAATAAAGCAGTTGGTGAAGAAAGGCAACTTGTCCTTGACGGCCAAGTGAGGCTTGGAGTTGAAGTGACGATAGAAAACTACCCAGTAAGGAAAGGGTAAGACGTATCGTCCAAGAGTGAAAAGGCAGGTGAAAACGAGAGTGGCATTGGCCGCTCGTCTGTCCGCATTCTTCCCGCCAACAATGCGATAGAACCATCTACAACCCAACGCAAAACACATTAGCTTTTCCAATCTAAATTGCACTTGACAGAGTCTGAGGGAGAAGTAGTTTCGCTGAATTAAGAAGTGCCTCAAGGCAATGAGGAATATCTGAAATGTTAGGTTGGATGTCAGTATCAGGGAAAGCAACGGGTTTGCAATGGTATTTAACAAACTGTAACAGTAATTACGAATCCACATGCCATCCAGGCCGCATTTATAAAACTTCTAAACTCATGCCTGGGGTCACAGATCACAGAGTCGTGATCATTTGCCGTAAAAGATGAGTTGGTCTGAGGCAACAATACGTCAATGTTATCGTAGCAAAATTACCTCGGTGACTCAGACAGCCGGTCCTTCGAACAACGAATTCTGAGCGTACTTAAAAGTACGCTCAACTAAACTTGCAAATAATGTTATTGTAAAATGTAAGAATGAAATCAAGAGGTTACTTCGTCTTGCATCCGAGAAATGCTGGAGACTAAATTCCTGACTCGCATTATGAACATCAGCATTGCTACCTAAAACTTTTGTTGGACACACAAAATCCGTATGATGACTTTCATTTGGCAAGAGGCTACGCAAAACCGTCTGCTTAGATCTAATCAAGACATGCACTCACCGGATACTCGACATTTTCGACATACATGAAAAAAGGCATCTGAGTGGAGAGAGATTTGGTGATGAAAGTGAGAGATGTTGCCAACATGGAAGAATTATAGTTAAATTATTGAAACTTTCCAGTTCATTATATCATTCTGCCACTTTGGAACGCAAATCTCCCAAATCTACAAAAACAAACAGCTCATTCCTTCCTCTACATCACGAGTTATTAACACCATTTTCACCGGCATAAAACTTGATTAGAAGTCAAATGAAAAGTGACACATGCGATGATTACAATGCTTCACGTGAAATTAACTTGAAAGTCTACCACCATCGCATTAGCGACTATGGCTTGTACGTATATTACATCGGCCCAATGGCAGATTGACTGGATGTGGTGGTTCAAGGAAGGAAGAGAAGAGACAGATAGCGGATTTCCCTCACAATGAAAGACTTTACTAGTGCAAAATTTACACCAGCTATTAAAGCGTGAGGAAGTTTCAAATGCACAGTCAACTAGAAAATGCCAAGTATCTCTCTGAACACTCAACTCCGACACTAACCGAGGTAGTTACCCTTTAAACCATCCGCATTCACGGCTAATGAAACCAGAGCGATTTCCGTTTGCTCACGGAAGCAACACACTCACATCTCTACACACATAACTTTTAATTATTCATCGCTGACAATGCCCACTATTTGTGGCGCACGCGCGTCATGATCTCATTCCACTCCATTAGACAACCACATGCCTATATAGAAATGCAGACCCACAGCCAAAAGGAGCCCGGCCACATTTTTGGCTCCACTAATTGAGGAAAGATACACGAAATGCCAAAATTCACCTTTGATTTAGAAATGGTGTCGAAATTTCACTGGTCAGCCGAATGATGGCGTAGACGGGGGCTATTCTGTAGATCTAAAAGCAAAGGAAATAATAAGGTTAGGCAGCACTTTGTAGCTCCAAACAGCCCGGTCAGCTGGATTTGTTTGATGTTGTGAATCAAGCTACATTTGATATGGTGTAGACCACCCAGGTACAATGAGTATGCGTAACCCAGTCTGGTGCCAATTTTGCAGTCTCAAGAAAACATGCCGGATATAAGTGGTTTATCCAAGAGCAAGGAAAACTTTGTTTTTGGCTAAAATCCAACACACGGGTAATCTTACGATGAACTTAAACGAGCGAAAACACAACAAGGGAAGCTGAAAGAGAAAGCACACGAATGCTTAAAATATCAAACGAGCGCCTTAAACAACCTAATATTGCAGATTCATTTGCTAAATCTGTTTTAAAGACTGAATTACGAAAGCAATCAAAAACTCAAGTTCTGCTAACGATTGGCCTTCTATTTTTTTGCAATCGGAAAGAGGATGACATTGGCCTACCCGAGTAGTCATTCATGAGTATTTTGCAAAAGACTCGTAAACATGTGTATGCATAGATATGGGGAGGTGAGAATAGTCTTAGGAACTAGCGCACAACCGAAGGAGAAAGGTGAGGAGTCCCAGTGGGCCTTACCAGAAGGAAGGTGAAGCAGATGGCGACTACGAGGTGATGAGTACAAAATAGAAGCAGTTCCAGTCCCCTTTGGAATGTGAACATCGAAATTGTATCTAAAAGATAAAAAAAACGAAATCCGCTGCGGCTGGGTTAGATTTACGTTAGTAATAATCGAACTAATTTTGATGTGAGACATGCCTCAGCCGATCGTACAACGAAACGACCGAGCATACGTTGATTTTATTTTATTTTATTGACCAATACAACAGCCCTATCTTAGTAAAACGATCAGCAGGAATGGATACGCAGTTCACATACTAGACAATCACGCTGGTTTTAAGAAAGTAAATATGAATTAAGAGGCAATACACTTTTAGTTCAACAAAACAGTTACCGCATGCCGGATGTTAAAGGCACTAATGCTGGTCTTGTGTTGCTGATCATGTGTACACAATGAAGGTGACCTTATTCGCTTGCGCTAAAACAATGAGCCGAAGCACCTGCTTTAAGGATAGCCGATCAGTTTTCAAACGTATGCACAAACTTTCATTTAAAAGACTCCACCAATACTCTAAATCTATCTTAAGCTGAGACGTGAGCTTGCTAAAATCCTGCCTTTGTTTTGGTGGTCGCTTCTGATCGCATTGGTGATCGAAAGAATCCCAGTGAAAAATTAAAAACAGTAGTTAAATAAAGGCACAAAATCCTCCACTGTTCCACACTCCGGTACCACTGATGGCGTTGAGAAATCACCAAAACTTCAGAAAAATAAGTAGCTTGAAACTCAACAACCTACCTGCAAGCATGTATCCGATCGTTATTGACAAGGCTATGCAACCGGGTCGCGAAATGGAGCTATAGAAGTTCAGTTTAAAAAGAAGGTATGAACCAACGTTGAACAAGATGTGATTTTTGATAAAAAACAAATGGACAATAAATAACTGAAAGGAATGCATTCAATTGACGTGAAAAGGCATTAATATTTCACCTAAGGCAGCACAAAACCAATGCAAAGTCAATGTTAATGCGATAATTACGGTCTATATTCCATCAGGCAAACGGAATCATTTCAATTTCACGCCGTTTTATTGGTCCGATCTCCTATTGACGTCGATTTTTAATGGTTTGAAATGTAAACCCACTCATAAAACCTCCCAATTAAGCGTTTATTGCGTGACTAAACTTACAAAAACTTACAAAATTCTTTCATAGTGAAAGATAGAAAGTTCTGCAACTAGTGAAGAACTTAACTGCTCACTAGAGGTGTTGCGATTTGCAAATGCAGAAAGGCATCAGCAAAAAAAGTAATGCGTTCCCTTCACATGCACATACCCACACACATGAACATTTACAGCCATTAATGTGCGTAATTATTTGCTTCAAACATGGGAGTGAACGCAGCCTTTGAGGAAAATTTAACCAATTCAACTGACAGCATATGATAACTATTAAGGTAGTTTAAATGTATGAAGTACCGAACCAGTTCCTTTTTTCGAATAAGAAGAGAATAACCTACGCGATTGGATCAGCCCATTGAGAAGTGTCAAAGAGAAGAGACATGAAACTGAGGAGAGTCACCAAGGTGGCATGAATAGTGGAAGAGACGCTGAAAAAGACAAACACCTTCGTAATCTCATTTTCAGCAGGAATTCAAAGTACTTTTAATTTATTAATAAAAGGTAGTTTCATGATGCTTAAGTGGCCAGGATTTCACCTAGACTTGCTTAGGATTTTCTAAACCAGAAAATATTCCGGCACTTAAAGAGAAAGTATGAAAGGACTCAGTTCAAATGAGTAAACAACGTCAGAGAGGAGAGAAGGAAAAATTACGGTAAAATCTATGAGTGTTTGCCAATAACAACGTGTTTTTAAAAAAACCTCCCTACTGGATCAAATACATTGGTTAAAAAGAGCGCAACTCAAAAACCCACAACCATTTTAAGGTTAACAACTGCTACTACAACGATCTCAGTCCTTGCCGAAGTGAAAAATTGCTATAAAACCTGGTGAGATCTCCTTATAGTGCAAATCTAGCTCAATGCTGCTAGAAAAAAAACAAATTGCCACTTACAAGTATTACGAAGGAAACATTAGCAGCATGACTATAGTATCAGTAATTAAACTATTGCCAATGTGTAAGAATGATGAAGCCAAACTATAGAGCCCAAAACTGGAACCGGCACCTGTAAAGAAATGTCGCAAAGTTAAAAGTGTGTTTATACTAAATGCTAGGACGTCCAAGGCGCGACTGTGCACGCACTCAGATGGTGACACATTGGAGCGTCACCGAAAGGAGAAAGATCTGAGATTTACCAAAAATTTCTCCTGAATTATCGCCATCTGACAAAAGTAGTGATGAGAATTATCTTTAATAACCAGCAAGTAAAAATAGCCAGGAAAGCCGGATTTTGAGAGGAAGTAACATGAAATCGCTGCCATTTTGCCGTCTGAAGAAAGTTTTATTAACATCATGTGGACAATTGAAAAAAAACTACCTCTATTCGAGCTCAGCAACGTGAATTCTTGCATTTTGCTAATAAAAACAATCCAAATTAATTCTTCTCGATAGGAGCAACCCCGCTGCAAGAAATGGTACTGCGTAAGGGCAGTCAGACACGAGTTGTCCAATCAGACGCAAAGTGAAAACCTCCAAGTTGCGCCAATGGAAACGCAGGAGCGAGAGGGCAAGCAAGCGTAAATGGGCGCGGGCAGAAGAACGATATTTAACCCTCAGTGCATGTGGAAGTCAAGAGGGGGTCACGAAGACTGACGCATTGTTACATTTGGCATAGTATTGGGATCTTGTGACATTTCAGCCTCCGATGAAGGCACGAGAGCGAATGCTTCATGAATTTTTATGTGTTACAGAAGCATTATATTCACAACATTAGAGCAATCAAGCATAAAAACGAGGAAAGAATGCGAAAAATCTTGTACCATGCAAATAGTAAAATTTCAGCTTTGCCTATGATGAATGCTCAATTAGCTGATGCCAATTTTCCAGTAAATATGGGAAGATGGAATGAAAAAGGTAGTGGACAAAGCAAATTGGACAATATCAGCCTACTAATTTTGCAAACAATAGATATTCATGGCCTTAAAACGCAGAAGCATTTACCATTTCAAGCTATGGGTCATTTTCTAAAATGAAATTAAAGTCAAAACGATGTCCAAGTTTTGTTTGAAACTGCCCAAATGACAGATATGAGTTACCTAAATGCCATGAAAAGTAATGCAAGATCCAAGTACTCCATTTGTTCGTTGGTTAGAGTCTTTGAACCATATTTTAAACGAAAAGTTTGTTTAGAAAATTGGCTTAAAGTGAATAAGTACCACAACGCAGCCCAATGGAAGACATTTTAGATGAGTGATGAACTGACCTAAAAAAGGGACGCGTTCCCCAAGAAATGACTGCCGCTTAATGTATGCAAAAGTTTGTGAGACACAGATCTTTAGCTCAAGCGACGACAAACGATACCACTTAAATTCCCAAAAGAAGAAAGGTCCAGGTTCCAATTGAATCTGTACTCGTTTATATTTCTTAACCAACGTTCCAGTCAACCAATTAAAGATCATTAAAACAAACAGCAGTTCCGATATGGCTCAAAGACACCATGGATGGATGCATAAAATGGAATTGACATTTCTGGAACGATCCAATATCTGAGCTTAAACAACAAACAACTACTCTGCCTTGGGTTGAAAATATAGAGAATCCTCACAAATCATCCTTACCGACAATTCCACTCCAGTCTCTGGAGGGGTGGAAGACGACGGTAAGTAGAAGACACCCTTTCAAACACACGAGGTCCAAGACAGTAATTAAATAGTAGAATCCCAATGAAACTGGCAAGAGACCATAGGGAATAGCAATAATTAACATCCCGCGGCCAATCGTAGGATACAGGCTCTTCGGCCACACAGGACTCGCACATTGGGCAGGACAGGGGAGCGAATGTCCCTTCAAAATGCCAGCGTACAGCCAAGGTTAACTAATCGTACATTACCGTATAATAAAACAAAACGAGGGGTAAAGGACAATGCCGTGTTAGACGCAAGTATTATCGACTAAGTTTTTAATTAAAATCTTTATGTTTAGTTAATAAATTATTAAGTCATTGCTAGTGTACAAATAAAATATGCATATGTAATGTCAGCATGTGCTTAAATGTGCACTTTTGGAAGTGTGAATGTAGTTTTAATCTCGTTCCCAAAGTCTGCTTTGGGCCTTTTGCAGCTTATGCAAATATGTAGCCCTTTGTTTTAAATGCGTTCCAATACGAACGTATTTCGTGCATTGCGTTTCGTATCCCTTGACACAGAATAGCGAAGTTAATAGCAAGCCTTCGAGCATCCCTGAACCCTCGCAACAAGATAAGGATTGCGCACCTCTTTAAACAATTGCGCTCAGTAGCGGATACGAGCTCATAGTGTCTGCTGCAGTAATGAATGATGAATAACGAAATTACTTTAGTCTATAATAAGCTAAAGAAGTCAAAATCGTTAAGAGATGAAAGGTATTTTCCATTCGTAAGAGCACTATACCTAGTGCATTTGCTTCGTGGTGGGCGAAGGATTTAGAAATATCTTACGATTCTCTCCTAGCAACTTAGGTGACCTTCGTTCTTAATTAGCGCACACCACTGATAGGAGCGAGATGTTCACTTATTACGCCAACTTGTTTGCATGGCAAGGCAAGGAAATCGAACATATAGGTACCAATTATGCGACCTATATTAGTGAAGTCAAACTCATTTTCGCTCATGTGGAAGGAGGTGGTCTGGTAAAATGTTTGGCCTGATTGAAATTAGGAAACCGTCAACGTCACTCTGACGCTCTCCAAGCGCACTAGCTAGGTAAAATGATGGCATTATACTACTGTTTATTAAATACAGAAATCTGGACGTGTTCCCATTAATCCACGAAAACCCATTGTAAATAAGTAATTCCCTTCACTAAGCTTAAAGCCTAGGTGCTAATGCAGGTAGAGTAAACAGATAGAGAAATTTTGAGTTTAAAATGCCCAACGAATATGATGAAATTCTGACAGTGCCATTTAGACTCTCGAGACTTCCCATCGGTTGGAAGAAGGCAGTAAGTGGGGCTGGATACATGTATTCCGGAGAAAACAGAGCAAATGGGCCTAAGCATGGCCCGAAGGCCAACCCACGTGCACAAGGGTCAGACATATGCTAAAGTTACCGCTCAACGCCAGGTAGTCACATAAACAATGCATTACAGTGGTTACCCTCAAATAACATGGTAAAGAGTGAAATAATTTGTTAATTTTAACATTCGTTTCTCTAGAAGGAACAAATGGGAGCAAACTAACCTTCCAAAACTGATTTTGGGTCGTCTGAAAGTAGCGCAAACCTTGAAAGACGGTTTTCAGGGGACTGCAGCCTCGATGGGCGAGATCATGGTCATTGACGACGATACAAAATAGGCAGAGATTTGTTTAACACCAATTATCAAAAAGAGTTAAGCATTTTCCTTAGTTTGACAAACTACTTAATGCAATTTGTTTTAGGTTTCGCTAAGATCATCACATCCCACACAGTCTAGCCGTATATTAAGCCAAAGAGACATTCAAACCAGGGGAAGCGCATGAAAGCATTTAGAGAATCAAAGTGAGACCGCTAATCTATACCGATTTTAGCCTTACCAAACTCCAAATGCAGCATCCTCTCTTTCCACTAAATATTCATGCAAGTGTTGTAGCCTCGACCAATGTACTTTCACAAAATACAAGGAGAATAGGGAGTAAGTCTGTTTTCACGCCAGTTCCAAGCTTAGCAAAACCGTGAAACACAAAGGTTCAACAAGTGAACTCTTTGTCAACCGTACGTTGGTTAGACGCTTTAAGCACTAGCTGATGGCAAGACGGATCGTGGTGCTAACGGGGCATCGAGTCCTTTCGCAGTTTAAAAGATGTGAGGGTAACTGATTACTTTGGTTGTATGCTTGTATTAGGAAACCGAGCAATATGCCTTCACAGCTCAGCAGAGAACAGAAACTAGGAATGGCGTCGCAAATGCACTGTCAATTTTGATCCTTCCGACTAAAAACGACTAGCGTTGTTGTGAGTGTACTATTTTTAAGTGAGCCTACTAAATACAATGAAAGATGGACTCAAAATACTATTTTCAATACGAATCTAACACCCTCTTAAAGGTCGTAGTGGAAGAGATGAAATATTTTTAGTAAGCAATCAAGTTAAATGCATGATCAACTTGGTTAGAATAAATTAATAGCGGCATCGCGACAAAGATAGTGGTGGCCCTCATTCATCGTTAGACTTTTGCCAAACCTGCATCAATCGCATTGGTTGCTAGAAGTCTTGCTTCACAGCCACCGCATCGCTGCAACTCATTGCTTATGGGCATTCCAGGCAGGAGTAAGAATATATGGTGTGAGCTCCATATCGCTCACCCAGAAGGGAAGCCGATACATTCAAAAAATAGGAGAGCCAGAAGCCATCGTATCGTTAAACGTCAAGGCCCTCACTTGAAGTCTGACTCGCTTGAAAAAGAGTCAGACATTTCGAATCTCTGTGCAAGAGGAAAGGAAAAATAACACCCATATCAGATTACTAAAGGAAGCGAAGTTGGAAAGCTGAGAATCAAGTCTAAAACGAACTCTCTTTATGTACCACCCAAACATCGATTGGGTCATCACCGTTCAAGTTGTATAATGCGAAAGCAACCAACTATCTAAAGGAAACAAGAAAAATGTTTAAAAACGCACTTACACTTACGAACGTCTTACATGGTGCAAAAAACGTTGCGACAAACACGGGCAAATCAGCTCTCACAGCGAAAAAGACCCCGACTCATTGCACAGACGAATTTCCACACCTAGCACAAAATCAGTCAACCCTTATGTAGAGTGAAGGTTCTTCCAAACACAATTCCCTCGACAACAGAGTATAACGTCACTACAACATATTAGGAGTCTTCAAAGGTGCATCCACAGTCGACTGCGTTGATGAAATCAACGCAATTGTCTATGAAAACCACTTAGCAGTATTGACAAGGGAACCTCTCGCAAGTAGCACCAGGATGACACTCAAGAGACGCGATCTTTTCAGGCGCGATGGAAGAACACAATCGAATCTCTCTGTTGAAGTGCGAATCTGCGCCTTTGACCCCGATCGAGACCATACATGACTACTCCATCCTTAAGTGCTGTCTTTCTGCAAATAACAATGTCTTCAACAACCAATTTTCTCGTATCAAGCTGTTCGTAAACCAACTAAGAACTTAGTTCTTTAACAAATATTTCTGTTCATTTTGTGCATCGTCGAAGCAAGGTTAATAATCATGGGAAATTTTCATAATTTTAAGTAGTTCGTAGGCTTGTGTCCCTTTATTTTGCTGCCAATTGCAGTATTGGCCAGCAATTAAAAAAGGATATGGAATATCCTGTGCAATTTGTTTACAACAAAACCAGCCACTCCACGACGTGTTTTAAAAAACAAAATAATCGTCAAGAATTTTGCTTTTGGAGAAAACATCAGTGATGGTATCTGGCAGCTCAAAGTTCGTGGACTGAATGCATGTGAGGACATTTCATTTGATACCTTCTCACTGACTGAGTTATCTTGAGAAAATCGCACATAGATTAAAAGAGTGTGCGTTTTTGTCAATCGCTTTATTTTTTTGCTGAATACAATGCAAACTTCAGTGCTGACGTCGAGCAATTGTAGGTAACGATCCATGCAACAGTAACATACTACTGAAAAGCAAATGGCATGGCGCAAACAAAAGTGCAATCGGCTGGTTGAATCATTTTGCTCTCCTTCAATTATTAGACAAAACTAATAAAGGTAAAATGAAGGATTCAAATTATGCTTATGTAAAGAATCTGATATGAAGATGAAGCCTTTTGTAGATGAAAACTTGTCTTCTTTCATTTCCACTAAGCATTGCTTTTTGCTCATTTCATGCCCTTCGACTCGTCTTATTAAATTATGATTCTCTTTTAATATTTCTAGTGAATAAGGAGAGGTGACTGAAGCAATGCAATAAGCTGTTGTGCGACACAGAGGCCTTTTCAATTCGAAAACATTTAGCAGGAGGTATTGTTTCTCTCCACCTTGAGCATTGGCAATGTGCATTTGGCCACGAAGTGGATGCTTTTGGGCTGCTTTGCATCAAGAGGATCCTTATCAAAGGTATCGTGACTATGGTAGGGGATAGAAATTGTTTTTTTTTCCGCTTGCAGAGTTAAAAGGAGATAGGAAACACAGCCATTTAAATTGCGCCGGCATTGACAATGCCAAAGTGGGAAGCAGGAAGGTAGTCTCTCCTCACTGATGCAGTCGACAATAAGACATGCGCAGGTGTAGAGAAAATGTGTTTCCTTCTCCGCAACAAAATAAAATTGACTCAAAGTTTCTTGACTAAAAACAGTTTTAATATGTAGTTGGGCGTTCACCCATACTCCACTGCATTTTAATAACACTGATTTCGTAAATCTTTGCTAGCTTGAATTACTCTGACAGAGATGACAAAAAGTACATGGTACGAAGGCAAAGCAGTAGTGAAGCACAATTTACCGCTGCAAAACGCCTCTAAGCTTTTACAAGCACCTTGTGATCATTTCTGCAAAAGTGTTGCTTTTTAACCAGGGCATCAACGGTTGTCACGCTCCTCACACCTTTGGTCAGTCCCTTTTTAGTCGTAAGGTGCAACCACCACCTTCAACGTTCGATGGAATTGGTGCAGATCTACTAATGAAGGCCGCGCACTTGCACGTGACCAGAGGTGAGGTTCAAGGATAACTCTGGTGGGCACGCAAGCACCACAAGCACTTTGGAATAGGCTAGGTAAAACGGTCATAGCGTGTAGGTCGAGAGATGGGTGCGCTGATTAAAATATAGATGTAATGGGACATTAAAAAAGTGTGGTTTGTTAAAACTGTCCCTAAAACA